CGCCATTTTCTAAAAACGTAAACAAAACGCTGTCTTTTGACTTTGAATTACGTTTTCTGGTGCTATTTGAACTTAAAAAACTTATCATGTGTAGAGAAAAATGGTACATGGCTATCTATTCTAAGGCAACATTATTGTTTCAACTTATCTCTTGACAGATTTATTGATTTAAAAGTATTTTTGCAAAAAGTGATCCGATTTGGGTCTTGCCTCCTTAACCAATAAGATTTGTTTTGTAGACAGGGATGGTAAGGATGCATTTGTTGTAAGCGGATATCTGGTATCTTCTCAAGTAATAAGATCCGCAGATAAATTTGTTTTAATGAATAATACAATACTACATAGAATATGTGCATTTACATCAGCAGTTCTTACGAAGATACAGCTAAAGATGGTGTAAAATGTTTTCATATAAGCATTTAATTATTAGTTTGTAGATTTATTTTAACCTGGCTTTAATTGTGTACTTTTAATGAAAATTAGCCGCTGCTGACACCTTATTGTAATTAAAGTATGCTATTCCACCATTGCAGAGTTGTTAATGCTATATTATACAGATGTATACTCCTTTCATAAATATTCAGCAAATAAGATCAACGATCGTAGAATGTTGATGCCTCCGAACAAGGTAAAACGTAACTTCGAAAAATTTAGGCTGCTTTTGTCACATGATCTGTTTGTCTTTAATAGTAATAAATTCTACATTTTTATGTAACTTAAAAATGCAAGAAAAATAGCTAGACATCGACAAAGCTGTCTGAACGCATTAAAGCGTTTCGACTACTTCATTTGACACAGTGAGACAGGACAGATTGATAACCGAAGTAAACAGATCTGGGGTTCGAATGTCCGATTTCGAGATGCGGATCTCGCGCTTGATACATGAGGAAAGCATAAGTTCAGTAGAATTAAGAGGAGTTCCGAATTACTGTAAGTCTCAAGTTCTGCCATTCACATTTATTCTGTTGCAAAAAGACCCCAGAACTGTTCACTTGTAAAACATAGAAGCAAGCGGTCCTGCTATTTTGTTCAAATATATCAAATGTGTATTTCTAACTTGTTCAATGTAATACTTGTCAGGGCAGTGCTAACATTACTCATCATTAACCAATAGAATTACCAAGGGTTCCTAATCAATTCGAGGTTGGTTCTTGGCCGATGCAATTACCAGTGGCTTGTACATTTTTGTATGTCAGAATTTCATTATTGAACGATGGTTATCATGTGAATTAGGGCCAATGATATCTTTCTTACTTTCATTTCAGGACAAATGTAATACAAAATTATAGATACATTATGCTTATAGAAAAGTGCATCAAACATAAATAGGGATTGATCATTGGGGCTTGTTAAAGGTATCGGTAGCAAAAAGAATCCACTGGTGCGACCAGACACTATCGTGCGTGCAGTGGTCACAATTATCTTGCTTGCTAAGGACATACAAGTTTGGTGCAGTTTTAAAATGCGTGAATGGTCTCATTCCTATCTTAGTGGAGAAATGCAACAATGATGGTTGACTGTCTGCATGTGAACACTGTCTGATTACAACAAGCGCCCATGTGTTCCGTTTGATAACTGTCTGACATGATAGCTAACTTGCGAAATGTCTGATTTGGATGATCACTTCTATGTGGCCGCATAAACCTTGTCTAACTTAAAGGCTTACTACCCCTATTTACGTACAAAAGCTGTCTGGCTTGCAAGCTAACTTCCCTGTGCACATACGAAAATTATCTGACTTTGCAGCTAACTTTCTGCTATTTCTATCTAAAGCCTGTCTAAGTTGAAAGCTAAATACCACGTATACATGCAGACTATGGTCAACATTAGCTCATAAGGGACTTCGCGAGTCGGTATGAAAACATTTGAATACTAATTGATAATCAATGATATATATGGCCATCAATATAATCAATAATTTCATTTCAAAGACGATGCTAAAGCCCATCTTGAAGAAGATTGCTTCGCCATTGTTTGCAAAGTAACTACACGGAGCTACATGTATAGCTTGAAAGGTGTACTTAACGGGTACATTCTAATCAAACCAGTGCGATGCATTTTAAATTGCATTCTTGTTTAAGTTGATGAATCACTATACCAGTTTCAACACAATGCAGCCAATTTGTCAATTTCCTGTTATATTGATTTCGACGGACAACTCACTATACGGGGTTAGTGTTTGTTCTTAACGACAATTTTAGACACAATCAACTTATGCTGGGACGTGCCGGTACACTATATTCAATTTCACCAATAACGTACAGATGGGTTATATGTTAAACTAACAGATCTCCATCTAAATCCACTAATTCGTTTAGCTATCATCTTTTTTTCTCTCTTTGGCATATAATCAACGAACCGGCTCTAACGAAATTACAGAGTGTTTGAACTGAATGGAGTGGTTAACAGATGCTGAAAGTCAGAAGAAGTGACGTTAGGCATTGGGTAGCCATTGATCCGGCTATAAGTACTTGAAAAAACGAGTTGGTAAAATAATCCGGATCAAAAGTACAGCCTCCTCTTCTATGCACTCCCTTAACACACCGTTACACGAGAAAAAAACATTGCAAACGTATATGGATATTTCATAGATATTTTTCGCCGTTTATCGTTTTAATTTTGAAGCCATTTTATATGTGACATACAACACATACAGTGGCAACTAACACACGTACACTGATGGTGTACAACGATCGCTTACAATTAATTTAATAGTGCATAAAGACTCGTGAAATGTCCATTAGTTGATAAAGTATTTCTCTACAACGATCGCTTACAATGAATTAAATAGAGCATAAAGGCTCATGAAATGTCCATTAGTTGATCAAGTATTTCTCTACAACGATCGCTTACGATGAACTTAACAGAGTATAAAGACTCGTGAAATCTCCATTAGTTGATAAAGTATTTCTCTAGAACGATCGCTTACAATGAATTTAACAGAGCATAAAGACTCATGAAATGTCCACTAGTTGATCAAGTATTTCTTTACAACGATCTCTTACAAAGAATTTAACAGAGCATAAAGGCTCATTAAATGTCCAACAGTGGATTACGTATTTTCATATCACAGTATCTCAAAAAAGGTAGTATTTTAATAACTTTCAACCAAATAATTTTGAAGAAAAAAAAAATCGTTTTCAAATCCTTTGATAAAAAATATGCATACATCCAAATTCACTTTTTATAATCTTTGTAATAAAATGCAAATGTATCAATTGATTTTCAGCAAAATATGTATCGTTTTCTTATGAGTAAAACACAAGTGTGTCCGGTTTTTATTATTTCGAATTGATTTTATTTCCAAATGTATTTTAGCTCGAGAATTCAGATATGTTCACATGATTGCGTCTTCTCAGCCTTACCGAACACCCGAATCCCGAACCTCGCTGAGGAGTATGTGAGACCCGACACCAAATCAATATGTTAATGTTATAATACTGTGTTAACAGACAGCTCACCACAAAAGGCCAATTTCCGAAACCAATAAGCTCCGTCCCTACCCCATCACCAATGACCTCTACTGGCAATACACTCACGACAAGGTCATTGTATACTTTACTCATCAGTAAATAAAACGCAATACAAAACAAAAATTAAAAATGATCTCCATACGGGTCAAAAGTGATTCATGTCTCGTAAATATCACGTGGAAGCAAATGATTGACAGGAAAGTACAGGGAAATGTAAGCAATGGGTTTAAGGAACACATGGTACTATTATCTTACCAATTTACTTTTACTTTCTAGTTTTAGTCTTATCAAAGCTTGGATGAGTGACAGGTCTTGTACAAACTTCCCTATTAGGGAATAGTTATTTTGGATGGAAACATAGCCTCGGTTGCCCATAAACGTCAGTCAAAATAGCTTCATACGCGGCCAGCTGATCCATAACTGCGTTCACTAATGCGGGTTTACTTTCGATAACAAATAAACCCCGATACACTAACTACATGTAGCAATACTAGATGTAACGGTCCAGAAACAAAATAGCAAAACAAAAAGCCACCTTTAATATAACAGATTAGCGTTGCAATACTACTGTCGCATTATTAAAATATCTGTATTTGCCCATCCCTCAAAAACTGATTGATATTATTGCAAAGAACTTTGAAGACAAAACGCAAACGATAAAGTAAAACTTCATGAAAAATGATTTCTACCAGATCGTCTCTTCCTTATTTGATTATTACATTATTACGCTATTATAGTGTTACGTCATTCTATTCTAAAATCAATACATTGTTATATCATTCCATTTTTACATTATTTAATTGTTACATTTGTGCATTATTACATTTTAACATTGTTGCAATATTTGCTTGTAATATTATTTGATTGTAACGATATTACATCGTTGCATGTACACTATTGTTATTGTTATATTATTTCCTTTTTAATCATTTCATTGTTACATTATTTTATTATTACATTATTTCATTGTTACGTTTTTTCATTATTACGTCATATCATTACTACTTCAATGTGATGTTATTTAATTACTTCCCTATTCCATTTTTACATTATTTGATTATTCCATCGTTACATCATTTCTTTAATGCAACAATTTTATTTACATTTTATTTTTACGTTATTTTAATGTACGTTGTTTCGTTGTTACATCATTTCATTGCTACGTTATTTCAATGAAACAACGTCTTATTCTTTCATTGTCGCGTTCCTTTTACGAAATTTTCATTTCTTCATTTTTTCGCTTGATTTATCGATAATTTGGTAAATTTAATGAAATGAAGATAACATTAAATGTTTCATTCATTTAGTAAGTTTAAATAGAGGGTGAAAGAAATGGCACAAACCAGTCATTTTCTATCAAAACATTTCACGTCCACGTGTATGGAGCCGGTTTGAATTGTAACCGACATCCAATAATGGTGTATATTACAATCAATGATTGATGAAACTTTAATTGAAACAAATCCTCGTATTGATAACACTGATGACATTTCATGATTAGCTGATATATGAGAATGATTCACTTACCGTCTGGAGTCGGCGCTCCGTCCGTACGGCATGCAACACCATGGCATTGCCCACCACCGTTAGGAGACACAGAATTAGCAACAGTACACCCAGGGGAATTTCCCGCCATAACCTGTCCTCTAAAACATTTTTACCATCTGTTGTTGAATTCGAATTGTTGTACACAAAAGCATCCCAAGGAAACAGGAAGTAGTCCGGAGTGGTTCCGTTAAATTCCAGGTAGTAATCATTTGACATTGCTGGTATTTGTGACACTACAAACCCAACACACTTCTTTTATTGGGTAACGCTGAACTCGCTCTCTCCAACACACTTTTGCAAAGGGCAACGTTTAACCCTATCTCGAACACCCCTCTTTCCAGGGTAACGCCTAACCCTTCTCAAATACACCTGCTTTATTGGGTAAAGCCCTAACCCTTTCTCCAACACCACCGTATGGGATAACGCCTAACCCTCTCTCCAATCCTCTTGACTGTAACGCATTTAAGGTGACCCAGGCCTGCTTACTTACACGTGCACCGTTAAATCAGTGCCACACGTGACCTTGAACATTTTTTAAACTTCGTCATTCCTTGCCCAACGTAACATATTAGGATTCCAAGCAATTTCTAACAAAGAAATATTCACTACACGCGTTCTGATGATGTCACGTGAGTGTTAAACATGTGCAACTACCTCTCCCCTGTAAGTATACAGATTTTATTCACAAATTGTATCCTTTTTTGTGACGGTATTGTTCGGTAAAGATCGTGTATCGATTCTTATCAAGTAAGCGTTTGGTCTTGGTCTATCTGTAACATATACCTATGCTCGCCGGGCCTGTGGTAGCTCTCATACTCCACGTAAATTTGCTCGTCTGGTAAGCATGCTGATCATACAGGCAATGTCCACAAATAGACTCGAGTTCTCCTAGGTACATTAATATCTAACAGCTGGATTGCTGATCATTGTTATGAAAAAAGTCGTCAAAACACTTTCATATGAGGGTGAAAAAAACATTTAACTGCTTATCTCGTATGTGCTGTAAAACTGTGAGTGTTTAATAAGAATTAAATAATCTTTCAAAAGGTTGGCTGATGAATCTATCACAGAGGCCCTGGAACCGACGATTGCTTGTCCGAATTATTTCACGTACACGCCATAGGTCACTCGTGATGTTTGTTCCTTTGAGAATATCCAATATCAACGACTCTCCCGTCGCACTTAATAAGAATACTCCCATGTTGGTCGGCTTGGCCGGAAGATGTTTGTTAATTGTCTGATAACTTTACAGGAGTTGTCAATAAAAATCTCATACTTTTAGAAATATACGCTTCAGTCTCGCGTACGTCTCTGCTACTTCCGTACGTTTTGGTGTTATTACCAACGTTGCAGCACCAAGGTATACATATAAGGTGTGTCAATATCTGTATAGGACGAGGAAGCTGCTGTCCCGAGCCTGGCGCTGCTGTCCCGAGCCTGGCGCTGCTTACCTCTCCTTTGTCACTATTTTTTTACGTTTGGTTATAAAGTCACATGGTGTGTCAGATATTCCATGCATGTGTGTAAATCCCGTGCATTCTCACAACGTATCCGAATACCAGAAGTCCTACGATAGATATCTATATCTCATCTCGGATGTATCTTTTAGTATATTCAGAGAGTGCGGGATGCATTCAGAGTGGGTAGTTAGCGTGTCGTGAATACCTTTACTTAAAACTTGAGTTTCCGCAAAGAGTCGTACACAATAAATGACCTATTGTTTTGCCGTTCCAAGTAGTTTAGCATTAATGCTTACCTAATGTTGAAATTATATTCTAGAGTAATATACTTTTCAAATCGTTTTAATATCACAGTTTAATAATTCCGTCAATGCCATGCAAATTTCTCCTAATATAATTCTTAGCTTGACTCGACACAGGTACGATCCACACACTTCCGCGATATCAAAGAGTTCAAATCGCGCGTAACTACTGCAGTCGATCGATGGTTCTGTTCAGCAGGTCCTGATAGCAGAGCCTCCAAACGTACCTAGGGTTAACGGCGGAACGGGCAACGCACGACCGCTCATCACCAACGCCACTTCAAGTATGGGGAATATTTGACGGAACACACAACACTACCATGGATTAACAAAACCATTTCCGTATTACTGACACTTACAGACTTCCGAATGTTATCATCGGCACCTTATCCCTGTATTATAGATCAGGTAGTACGCGTACTAGTTACGATCAGACCTGATATCAAGATTAATTTTACGTCAAGTACGCCATTACACGCTTATATAGGCGTTGATTGTTTTTTTATCAAAACCAATCTACAAGTAATTACCTGGGATTAATAAAGGACCTGTTTTTATTACCTTTCGTGTCCCGGAGACCATGAAACTTTACGAAGCCCGTCTGCTGGGGCGAGCTGGGATATCTCTATGTGCATCAGCCATCATTAAATGGTTACACGGGGATTATTTGATTTCGAACAATCTTCCACCTGTCGTGCTACCCTCACCGGGCCTAGAGATGATGTTAATAGGTTAATTAAATGTGTACTATGTGTCTTTTACTCTGCTTTCCGTAAGTTGAAAACGTCTACCCTGATAAATTGTCGATGTGCAAACTACATGCCTGGTCTCAGGTTACTTCTGTTGAGCCGTGCCACGAGCTATGTCTCGTAAAACAGACATTTTTCAAATGGAAAAGAGGTATAATATCCCCAACAGTTAACGACAGCCCTCATGAGATGAGCAATTTGTTGAACAAGAAAATTAAAAAATATGGGAAGTTAGGATTTTTGAACTTTTATTTTCGATTGTTATTTTGATCTTTTCTTTTTGACTCTTTTTTCCTCTTCTTGCATTGATAGATTATACGTTTATCAAACAAACAACCAAAGAGTTTTATACACAAAGGGATTTGCCTCGTACATTTTTAACTCCCGAATAAGTAAATAACCTGAGCAAAACAAGGTTTAAGGTATGTCGTCACATCGCGTGATAGTTTAATCATACAATACTTTGATAAGAAATAAACTTAGTGCAAAGTGTTCTCTCATCTTGAATTAAAAAAAACACCATGATATGTAAAATGATTTTTTGTATTCGGCGAAAAATTGCTGCATTGATTCCGTTTTTTACCAGTAAAATATAATTTTAATAATGAAATACCATTAATGTTTTTGTTCTGTTACAAATAATATTTTAAATATTTTCACATTAATTGACCAATCATTATCAATTATGACGTCACAAAAGCCCTGACGTTTCCTTTATTGTGACGTCATACTTGTTAAGCTATTTTTTTGGCTGGATATGTTCACATAGATTCCAGTCTGTAAAAAGAAAAAAAAGCAATAAACAGAATATTTTTAGTTATTGATGTGTAAGACATCTTTCTCTTTAGGTTTGAATATCTTTGCATTGTTCATCGAGAAAAAAAATAAAACATGAAAAAAAAACATGAAAAAACCCCACCCAACTCGCAATTAATACAAGGGTTAATAATCCAGAAACCAATGATATCATTTATGTATTCTTTTTTAACGCTTATCATAATGAATGTAGTTTAAAAATTTGAAGGTAAGTGGAGATATGAGTACAAAAAAAGGGTTTGCTTTTGTTGTCTTGCAACACCTTTTGACAAGAAATTATATGTTTTCGACCTTGTGTTCACTGATGTGGCCACATGGTGTTATACAATAAGTTAATTTATTTTTCCACATCGACTATTTTTTTTAAATAGGTGTTCCCTAACATACTATTCATAATTGTTAATTTTACGTCACGACGTGGTTGAGTCTTCTAGTGAACTATCGCTGGAACTTCTTTTTGCACGGTTTAAATGACATTTTAGTTTTACTATCTTTGTTTCAAAACGATCTTAAATATATAACTTCATAAAGTATTTTAGATACACATTGAATTGGAAGCACGGTAGTCTAGTGGTAGGACGCCGGGCTTCTTACCGAAGGGTTGCGGGTTCGAGCCACGGCACGGTACGGCACTGTGTTGTATCTTTGAACAAGATACTTTATTCAGTTTTAGTAGGTGGTTGGGCAGTGCTCGAATTGCAGAATGCTAACTGTGAGTGCCGAAATAGCAGCACCGACTTTATGCTTCCCAGTGAGTTGAGAAAAATATTGGCTGGTTGCAAAGGCCCTTTAACCACGGATATTAAGTAATAAACGGCTTTGAGACGACCCAAGAACTAGGTTGTGATAAAGCGGTATATAAGAACCTCGAATTAATCATTATTAGTAGTATTGTCCCTTCTGCTCTGCTTATATTTACGTTTAGAATCATATCAGATTAGGAGTTTTATGTTTGACCTTTTCTACCTTTGATCATTCTTAAATGGATGAAATGGCCATATGGCGCAGTACAACTGTTAACCTTGTGTCGGCTTCTACTTCAATTGACCTATTATTTACAAAAATAATGTGTTTCTTTATTTCATATTTCTGATGATTGAATTTGCAGTATGTTGATGTAAGAATAAGTTATTACGGGACTCATAACATACCTACCTGTCGTTAGTTGAATCTTAAATACAAATTTCGGATGTTTAAATATGCTTTCAATGAAGAAATGAGACAATTACACCAAGTGAGTTGAGCTTTCATTTTCAGACCAGAATTACGAATTGATTCAAACGTTGATATTGTTGATACGACGAATGATTTTATTTAAATAAAAGGGATCTCAGGTACTATTTTGATAATAGTGCCTGATCGCGCCAATATTTATTTTAACACAAAGTGGCGGGTTCTATTCGGCAAAAGAAAGAACACTTCTCGGAAATTTATATTATATTATATGTATTGATCCTATTCAGAGACGGCTGATATTTTAAATGAGGTCGAAAATTTAATTAAGCAAAGATTTAGCTTAGGAGCATATAGTAATACATCAGAATCTAATAGTTATGTTACAAAATCTCACGCGATATGTGTAGGTATGGGTGTTATGTAGAATGCAATCTATTGGTGAGAAAATAACGAATCCCTTGGGATATAACTAGACAACACGATGACTGACGACGCTGATATGGTGATAAATGAAAAGAAACTTGGCAACTTCTGTAAAACGAACTCCATTCTAATTGGGAAAATACCATTAAATAAACCAGGGAATGAATAAGACGTTCATGACATACCAGGTAAGGTAAGTTAAAAATAAATCATTTCGTTAGTATTGAATGGTTGACTTTGTTAGTACAGAACAAATCCACGCGTAAAGAAAATCGTTAGTTCAGATCAGCAGACGACAAGTATTAAGCAATT